ACCATAAAGTTCAGAAGTTGCGCCAAGCGAAATTGTGTATACTGTGAAGTGTCGCTCAGCCGTGGAATCTTGATCGAGCCGTCGATGAACGGCTTCACCTGCGCAATTTCAAGTTGAGGTTCGATGGACTCCCTTTAGACGGATAAGTCATGACGTCATTCGAGAAGCTTCGGCACCACGATTTTGTCGGGAGAAAATTTGAAGTATCCGTAGTCAGGAGCGATTCCGCCGTCTTTCGATGCCGTCGGATGAGAGATTGTCGAGCTCCCACCAGTCTTCACTGCAGATTCTCGACCGCTCATGCGTCCTCTGCCAGTCGCCTTCTTCGGACTTGCATCCGCCTTCTGTTGCGATCCTTCTCCAGGGCTCATCAGTTCTCCTTGTCCTAGAACACCTCGTGGCTCCTGCATTCCGCCTTCTTCCGGTTCTTTAGCGCTCTCGTCGTCTCCAGAAATCTGTGATGCCCCGTCTTCCTCTGAACGAGTCTGCGGATGGTCCATCTCCCATTGAGCTCGTGCTCCCAAGAGCATAAAGTTGAGCTCCCGCTCGGTAAGATCTCCGCCTTCATGACGAGCCATCAAAGCAGCCTCCTGCTCACTTAAACTGTCGAACGTCTCGAGGATTTCCTCAGAGCCCACCATGTCAACTAGCTAAGTTCAATGAGACCTATTTCGAAGAACGGATTCTATGCGTGTTCGATCCACGCTCACCGCACCATGCAGAGATTTCTGCTCTAACGGGAGTTGGAGCTCTACGAAATGCTTCTCTGTAGCCACGCAAACTTTGTTGTTCACTAAAGAGAAAATTGGCTAAGTGTTGAGAAAGACATAGATTTGGCACACACAGAAAATTCACTAGAATAGTTTGAAAATAGAATACAACAAGGGGTGAAATAGAAGCTACCCAACCAATGAACCATGCAGAGAACGTTCGCCCAAGAACGTTTACATAACTACTTTTAGCTGCGCTTTGCCAACTCAGCGTCGGCAGGTGAAAATTACAACACGTGCTTAGTTGGTAATTTTTACCTACCTAAAAGTAGTTGTTTTAGCTGTTCAGGTTGTTTTAAACAACTTCTGTAACGCACGTTTTCGTAGTTACGAAAACGTGCTCCAGGTTCATTCAGTGCAGGTGGTTCAATTTCGCCCCAGATTGAACACCCTAGTTCCGCGCACTGTTTCCCGGGGTCAATTTCTCAATGTCCTGCAATTTCCGAAATTCCCACGCAAAAGTTCCGAAACGATCGCACTTTTGCGTCGGAGGGGTTCGCCGGTAGAAGACTCGGTCCTCTGCAGAATTTCGCTTCTGCAGATGCGCCATCCTCTGTAGATCCGAACTTCTGCAGATGCGCCCTCTGCAGCTCCACGTTCTGCTCGGCAGATTCGCCTTCATCTGCAGCGGAACCTGTTTTCCGCTTCTGCGAGGTGACTCTGCTGCAGAGTTCTGCGTTGACTTCAGCAGAATTCGCTTTGGCGGATTTCTCCCCTCCCTCGCAGAAAGCGACGACCCAGTCTGCAGTTCAGTGCACACTCAACATGATGGATGGATGGATGGATGGATGGATGGATGGATGGATGGATGGATGGATGGATGGATGGATGGATGGATGGATGGATGGATGGATGGATGGATGGATGGATGGGATCCTTGCTCAGATCTCCACGGACTTTGTTGGTTGCGATCAAGAGGATGATTTTGCTTCCACCACCACCAACTTGTACAACAGATTCATTGATTCATATGCTGAATATTCCCAACCGAATGTGAGTTTCGCTTCTAGGCGCCTAAAACATTCTTTCAGCACAGCACCACTCTCCTCTACACGATGCCTTGATACATTCTCTTGTGATCGATGCATGTGCTTGTGATTGATGCATGTGCTCGTGACGTGATTCACACCCAAATGTGTGTTTGGTACACATGGTCTCATCCATTCCTATTGAATGAATGTTTCACAATCTTTGGATTGGCATATGTGCTAGTATTTCACATTTGAATGTGAGTCATCACGCATGAATAGGTCTCCCATGCTTTCCGCACCCACTCCCCCTTCCTTTCCGCACCCACTCTCCCTTCCTCCTTTTCCCCATGTGCCACAATTTTTTAGATTTTATTCATGTGCTAATGATTCACAACACACATTTTCCACCCCCTCAACCCCTTCCCCCCCCACCTCCCTCCCTCCTTCCCTATATTCCGTCTACAATCCCATGCTCCACTTAACAGTCCGCTCCCTTCAACCATGACTGACCTTTGCACCCTTCCCCTCCTCCCTCACTCCCTCCCCATCTACATGTCTCCCTCCCTCCTCCCTCCCTCCCTCTCTCCCTTCCGGCCCCATTACGCAATCCTCCTCTTTGTCCAGAAAGGATGCTTTCGTCCTCTTCAGCTGCCTTTCTGTTATGAATTCGCACTCTTCTGATTTTGCACTCCTCTTTAGCCATCTCCTTGTTCTGACCTCGACATTACAGGTTCGAGTTGAAATGGCTTGGCACCTCTATGAACAGCTAGAAGCGGACAAGAATGTCCGACCCGATGCCAAGACATTCAACATTCTCGTTGACATCAATCTACAGGTGTTGTTCGATCCTTCCCCCCTTTGCAGCTGTTTGAGTCTCCCCCCTTTTCCTGCTGTTGTTTGGAGATGACTGTTAGGTCGACTCAAAAGTCAGTCAGTTTGCAGGTGCTGTGGATGCTTTTTTTTTTCGGTGATGTTTTTATGTTACACTCTTCTGGTTGGAATAATTCAATAATACTCTTGATAATCCTCTTTGGTTCGATTTAGATCCCCATCCGTTATCACAACTTATTGACCATACTCCCTTCTATTCAGTTCTCTTGTGGCCTCGATCCGATGCTCCTGTGCTTCTTTCTCCATTCCCTTGCGCTCTTCGGTTGATTCCTTGCAGGCAGGGGATCACTCAGGGGCGTTGCGAGCGTACAAGCTGATGTCAACGAGTGGGTTTGCACGCAACTTGGCTCCGGAGTTTTGGAACAAGCTCATCCTCGCCGCGGCTGCCGTGCCCTCCGCCCCTGCCCACGTGGCCTACGGGGTGAGCATGAGTGCTTGGTTGAGCAGGAGGGGTGTCAATTTGTCTAAACAAGTATACATTTCCCAGATTTTGCAAGTACAAGTATGCAATTACGGGTGAACATTGGATATGTTTTCGTCTTAGAGGAGTGAGTAATAGTGATTCTCGTAAACATTGCGGTCGTTCTTTCGTTTTCTTTGGAACAATTTTTCAAGAGGGGAGTTTTGGGGCTTCCAGCCAGATATGCCAGCTTGCCTTCATCCTTCTCATCAGAATTGTTGTGCCCTCCCTATCTTGCCGCCCCTCCCATTCTGTCCCGCAGTGCTATGATGCTTTGCAAACCCGGGGTCCCAATCCGGTCCCAGAAACTTACCTGGGGCTCATGGCAGTGTGTGCCAGGGATGGCGATGCAGCACCTCTCAGTCACCACTCCCTCTCTTCCCCCCCACCCGCAACACTTTTATGCTTCCACAGTGTTATGATGCATTGCAAACATGGGGACCCAAGCCAGACCTAGACACGTACGTGGGGCTCATGGCAGTGTGTGCCAGGGATGGCGATGCAGCACGGGCGATGGCACTGAGGAGGGAGATGGAGGATGGCGGAGTGGAGGTGATGGGGGAAGTGCTCCGTGCGGTCATGGCCATGCAGCGCCACACAGGGCTGTGGGAGGCCGCTGTGGAAACCTTCAGAGAGATGCAAACTAAGGCTGTGTTCTCGACCGATGTGAGCATTGATTGATGCATGCTTGTGATTGATGTGTGTGAGTATGGCGTATGGTGCTAGTTTGTAAATAGGTAGCTGCTGCATGCTTGTGAGTGGTCTTCTCTGCGCTGAGGGAAGTTGCAGGGGGTGATTTTGACTATCGTTGCTGGACGGGGCTATCTGGGTCTTGTTATGAATCTATTCTCCTTGCTCACATCTCTTTCGCTCGTTACTTTCTTTCACTTCAACCGCCCTTTGAATCACTAATTTACTTGAAATTTGCTCTTCACTGTAGGAGGACACCGCATGGGGTCGTGATTTCTTGAAGGAAGCTACTGAGAAAGTTCGCCCCAATGCGAAGACCCTCAACCTTCTCATTGAAGCAAGCGTAGAGGTTTGTTGGAAAAACAAAAGGAAGAGATTGTGAGGTGTCACAATCTCTGATTCACCACGTCGCTTCCTTTGCAAGATTTTTTTTTTTTGAAATTTCAATTTCGCAACACTGGCAAAAGGTATTTGCTCCAACATACAGCCTCCCTCTCTCCCTTTTGCCAACTTCCCATTGTTCGTGTTACTCCACCAGTCACTCGTCTCATCCCCTCCCTCAACCTGAACCTCACACGGACACACACAAATACGCATGCACGTGTGCTCGTGCCCGCGCGTGCACGCACGCACGCATGCGCGCGCACACACACACACACACGTCCCCTCCCTCGCCCTCTGTAGGCAGGGGACCACGAGGGGGCGGTGCGAGCGTACAAGCTGATGTCAGCAAACGGCTTGGCACATGACTTAAATCTGGTTTTTGGAGCAAGCTCACCCAATTTGCGAGTACGGTGATTGCACCATCCTCCCCTGCTCACGCTGCAAGCGAGGTAAGCCTTAGAGTGGTGACTCAATGCTGGTGCACTTTGTGGTTGATTTTTGAGATGTCTCAAGAGTGGTGGTGACTCAGTGCTGGTGCACCTTGTGGTGAAAACTAGATTTCAGAAAAACCATGTTACGATTGCACCGTCCTCCTCAGCCGTCGCTCCAAGTGAGGCAAGCTCAAGAGGGGCAGATTGGTGTTGGTGTGCTTCATGGTTGAGTATTGAGACGTCTAAAAAGCCATTTCTTGGCTATCGCTCCGCTCCACCATTCTCACATTGTTGAGACTGGGGGAGACCAACAGTGGGTGATGCGACGAATCAAGGACGGGACACCGTCCCACCGTGCCATGCCTTTTTTCCTCCCTCATTTGAGAGTGTCAATTTGTCTCTCATGGCCTCAAAGTTGCTGTCTACCCGGATCATCCCTTCCATTCCATTGCAGGCAGACACGTCTCCTCCCGTGCTCCAGCTCCTATCAGAGGCTACTGAGAGTGGCTGTGTTGACCCAGAGGTCTTCAACCTGCTGATCGAAACCAGCCTGCAGGTGCGTTTAACATTCTGGGTAGGATTTTGACTGAGACATTTGAAGCTCCAATGAATTCTTCAAGTCAATCAACGCTCGTTCGTATATCCCCCTCCCAATAGCCTTACCCAACCCGTTACCCTTTCCGGTTGCTTCTCCAGGCAGGGAATCACGAGGGGGTGTTGCGAGCGTACAAGCTGATGTTAGCGAGTGGGTTGGCACGCGACTTGAATCCGCCTTTTTGGAACAAGCTCATCCTCGCCGTGGTTGCCGTGCCCTCCGCCCCTGCCTACGTGGCCTACGGGGTGAGAAAAGGGTGTTTGGTACACATACATGTACATACACGTATACATATGCAAATACATATACATATACATATACATATACAAACACATACACATATGCATACACACACACACATACACACACACATACACACACACACACACACACACACACACATACACACACACACACACACACACACATACACACACACACACACACATAAACATATCATATGCATATACATATGTATATGAAATGCATTGGTGGCCATCTGTTGTCCGTCCTCCATTTTTTCTGATCCACCCTGGTTGGTCTCCTATCTGCCTTCACTCTTCTCAACATAGTTATTTTAATGTGTTACGAATCATTGTTTCAAGTTTCCTCCTTTGCGTTCCAACAGTGCTACGATGGCATGAAGAGGTGGGGACCCAAGCCGGACCTAGAAACGTACCAGGGGCTCATGGCAGTGTGTGCCAGGGATGGCGATGCAGCACGGGCGACCATGCTAAAGAAAGACATGGAGGATGGCGGAGTGGAGGTCACAGCAGCGGTGCTCCATGCACTCATAGCCATGCAGCGCAAGTCAGGGATGTCGCAGGTGGCTGCGGAGACTCTGAAGGAGATGCAGGCCAAGGCTATAGTCTCGACTGATGTATGTGAGCATGGCATTCATGTGTGTACGTATAAAAAAAAATATAGATATCTCTCTATATATATGACCGCTCTCATTCCTTACAGCCGCATTTCAACTCTTGTCCACGTGAACCGAATCTTTCACTGCAGGAGCAAAGGGCATGTGGTAAGGAGCTCCTGACGGAGGCCATTGAGAAAGGCGATGCAGCATGGGCCATGGCTTTGAAGAAAGACATGGAGGATGGCGGAGTGGAGGTTACGGAGGAAGTGCTCCGTGCGCTCCTGGCCATGCAGCGCAAGGCAGGGCTGTGGGAGGCGGCTGTGGAGACACTCAAGGAGATGCAAGCCAAGGGCGTCATGGAGGTAAGGCGGGCACGGCCTTTGTGTGCTCCGTGCGCTCATGGCCATGCAGCGCCACACAGGCCTAGGACGTGGCAGTGGATGATGCAAGATGATGACACTCAAGGAGATGCAAGCCAAGGGTTTGTCGTTGACTGATGTAAGGCCCATGGACCAATGTGCCAAGCATAGTGATTCCCTTTTTTAGAAGTAAATTGGTTGTTCTCCCACCGTGGCTCTGGTAACGCCATCTTGTTGATGTAGGGCAGTTTTTTTTTTTTTTTTTTTTTTTTTTTTTTTTTTTTTTTTTTTTTTACTTTTCAATTCGTGTCCACTTGAACCATGTCTCTCACTGTAGGACGATACAGCATGGGGTCATCGTGAGCTCTTGATGGAAGCTATAGAGAAGGGCAGTCCCGATGCAGAGACATTCAACCTCGCCATTGCAGCCAGCCTTCAGGTGCTGTCGCCAGCCGGCCTTTTGCCAGCTAAGCACTAATTCGACTTAGGGTGTTATCACCATTCATGATCATGAAACTAGATGCTAATTTCACAAAAGGATATCATATAGCTCTCTCACTATTGTATCTCCCTCACTCTCTATAAGCAGGGGATCAAGAGGCGGCGTTGCGAGCGTACAAGCAGATGTCAGCCAGTGGGTTTGCACGTGACTTGGATCCCGAGTTCTGGAACAAGCTCATCCATGCCGTGGCTGCCGTGCCCTCCGCCCCTGCCTACGTGGCCTATGGGGTGAGTGAGGGAAAAGGAGGTGAGTGGGTGGAGGAAAAGGGAGGTGAATCGGGGAGCGGATTGAACGACATGTTTATACTTCTTTGAGCGTTAAACAGACAAGAATTTTTATTTCTGCGATGCCATGCAATGTGCCGCCAATCGATCTCGGTGTTTATTTTATTCTCGCGGCAATCGATCAGATGTAAGCACGGGGCCCAGGCAGCTTGCAAGACATTCACTTCCATCCCCTTTCGTCTGTGGCATGGCATGGCAGTGCTATGATGGCATGCAGAGGTGGGGACCAACGCCAGACGAGGCAACCTACCAGGGGCTCATGGCAGTGTGTGCCAGGGATGGCGATGCAGCACGGGCGATGGCACTAAGGAGGGAAATGAAGCATGAGGGCCTGGAGGTGACAGCGGCTGTGTATTGCGCGCTGATCAATGCACAGGGCAGGGCAGGAGCGTGGGAGGCAGCTGTGGAGACTTTCAGAGAGATGCAGGCCAAGGCGAGGGGAGAGATAGAGGTAAGCCTTTCGGGTCACAGCAGCGGTGTATGGTGCGCTGATGAGTTCACAGGGCAAGGGGGGGAAGTGGGAGGCGGCTGTGGAGGCGTTCAAAAAGATGCAAGTCGAGTCTAGGGGCGAGATGGAGGTAAGCCTTGTCTAATTTGAGTCGAAAGGGTCGCCGAGGAGGGAGGTGGAGAACGACGGAGTGGCTGTGTGCAGTGCGGATTTGGGGTATCGGGAAGCGACTGTGGAGAGGAGACGTTCCGAGAGATGCAGGCAAAGGCTGAGGGAGAAACTGAGGTAAGCCTTTATCTTTTGAGTTGAGTCGAGAGGCATTGAGGAGGGAGATGGAGGGTGGAGGTGTGGTGGTATTACATCCGCTCATCACTGCGCACTGATGAGCGCATGTAACATGGCAGGGAAAGGAAATGGGAGGTGGCGGTGGAGGCTTTCTGATAGGTGCAAGCCAAAGCGAGGGGCGAGATGGAGGTAAGCCTTTACCTAACATGCTTGAAAGGGCGGTTGTACGGTGGATGGGTGATTTTTGACCAGGCTAGGAGGAGCCAAGGTTGCCATTTCCCGGCCTGACTGAATTCTCAAGAGTCTAAGCTAAGACTCATGCACTCTCTACGTTCTCTGAGTCTTGCTGCTCTTCCTTTCCCTACCATTCAACACCTGCGCGTTGCTTGTTGACCCCTAACTCAGCTCCAAAACCACTTCTGCGTTCCTCTCCCCCTATTCCACCCTCACCTTTCCATTCATCACACACTCGAACATGCTTTGTCGGTGTTCCTATCCATTTCCTTGTGCCATCACACGTACCCTTCTCCTCTCCATACTACTTCCCAATCAACTCCGTGCTCTCTCTCTTTCCTCCTCTGTCCATCAGCGCTACAAACAGCAGTGTCAATCTTCAGAGAGGCAGCAGCTGGGGGCACCTTCCCTCCCGCCTTGACCGCAGACCCCTTCACGTAAGATCAGTGCGAGCTTGTTGTGATCCCTACGTATGGAACATGCCCGTTCACAATCCCGACACCCATAGTCTTGTTGCAATCCCTGTAGCCTATGGGTGTCGTGATCCCTCTACCATTAGAAATTAAAAAAGCTTGAAATGTGGGTTTCAGAATCTAAAGGCCTAATACTCGTAAACCTGTGGGCCTTAGAATCTTGAAATGCCTTCTCTTATGACCCTTCCTTGCGAGTATTCTTGTAACAAGCTGAGACTCCTCCCATTCCCTCCTTTGTTAGGTGTTACATGGCAAATGTCAGCTGCGTTCTTGTAGGTCCCTCAAAAGTACTCCTTTCCCCCCCCTTCCCTCAGGCATTACATGATTAGCCGCATATTCTTAGGCGCCTCAAAAGTACATCCATGCCTTTAAATCCTCTCCTTTTGCAGGTGTTACGTGGTGGGCTGCACGCCCCCTGTCGCGGCTGTTGCGCTCCTTTCGCTGCTTCTGCGCATTGCCTCGTCCTCCGTTTACGACCGTGATGCCACGTCACTGTGCAACCTCCTCATTGTCACAGAATTGCAAGCAACAGGTGATGCTCTACCACTGGAGCCATGCCCAGACCTCCAAGGAACGATGGAGGCAATGCTGCAGGCGCTAGGGCTGAAGGGGGAGTTGCTGCATGGCACGAGCGCGCTGCAGGGGCTGTGTGCTGACAGGGAGGAACTGCGTCTCTGGCTTAAGACGCAAGCTGCACTCGTTTTCCTTGCATGATGACTTTTGAGTCCACTCAATGGGAAGGGAGAGAGGTTGCATGGTATGAGTACACTGCAAGGGCTGTGTGTTGACAGGGAGGAGCTGCGGGTGTGGCTCAAGTCACAAGCTGCTTCCGTGTTCCTGGCATGATGGTGTGATCGCGTAGTGGCATGGTGGCATGGCGTGAGCACGCTGCAGGGGCTGTGTGTAGACAGGGAGGACCTGAGCTTGTGGCTCAAGTCACAAGCTGCTCTCATGTTCCTGGGATGATGGCGTGTACCAGACAAGAGCTGCATGGCATGAGCGTGCTGCAAGGGCTGTGTTGACAGGGAGGACCTTCGCCTGTGGCTCAACACACAGGCTGCTCTCATGTTCCTGGCGTGACAGCATTGCGGCATATTGGCATGACTGCATGGTGGTGTGGCGGTATGTTGGCATGACTGCATGGTGGTGTGGCGGTATGCTAGCATGACTGCATGGTGGTGTGGCGGTATGCTGGCATGACTACATGGTGGTGTGGCGGTATGTTGGCATAACTGCATGGTGGTGTGGCGGTATGTTGGCATGACCGCAAGGTGCTGTGGCGGTATGTTAGCATGGCACATGGCAGCGTAACAGTATGGCAGTGTGGTAGTATGACAGCATGTCATTTCATGTAGCTATTCTTGGATGGCAGCATGGCAAAAGCTTTGATAAGAGATTTTATAGTACTTCAAAGCTTAGGTATTTCTACAACCCAACCCATCTATTTGGTCTTGGGCTGCTTTGGTTCATTCTTAGTAGCTGTTCTTGGTATTGTTGCAACGAATGTACAGTTCTTTTTAGGTTGCATCTAGCTGTTGTGAGATACAGTAGTTGTATACAGCTGTTCTTGGATTTCCTATCAGTCTGTTCATACCTTATCTTCGGTTGCTCCTACTATTTAGACAAAGCGGAGGTGTATTATCCTCCTTGATCACCCCTAACAAACGTATGTAGCTGTTATGGGACTACCCCTCTAGCTGTGATTGCTCAAATCGTTACAAGATAACAATGGTTGGTTGTAAAATATTATTCGGTTCACACGTCACACTTTTAGGCAACCAGAAGAGAGTGTGTGGTTTTTGTTTCTTTGGAGTGCGAATCTGGCCTTGCCCTATAAGCTCTAACTTTGATAGTCTAGCATTTTTGGTGCCATATGCTTGACGTGAAGGTGAGGGCAAGTCTAGACAATCAAATGTTGAGACCAATTTTCATTTGCTCAAATTAGAACAAAAATCATGAACTTCACAATTCTATACACGCCCAAGTCATCCTATTATCCTCCACCTCCACCCCCTGAAAGTGCACCGGACTGGTTCACAGCTCGTGAACCCGGTTCAGAGTGCCGGGGAGTGCCGGGGCGTGCCGGGCTCGACCCAGGCAAAATTTCAGCAACCATTCCAATCTTGGCCCTTTCCTGGTCTGTGTCCAATCTGACATGGCGAATAACTAACTCGAAAAGCATCCGCGGCGTGACTTGATAAGCCGACAGACTTTCATGCAATGTTCAGACTGACCGTACTCGGACCTTTCGCCAGCCTTGGCCGAGTTCGCCACGCGCACGATCTATTGACGAAAAAAAATAGCATGGGGCGCTCCACTAAGGGAGATGCTGAGGGAAGTCAACGACAAATAGTAACAGCTTCAAAGTCAGCCGCCAAAAGAAGCAGAGGATGATGTCAAGCTGTCAACCCCATCATGTCACTCATCGAGTCGTACTCCCCTCCCTCAAGCTTCAATAGTGTTGGTGTATATAGATCGTACTGACTCAGTAGTAATCATACGGAGATCGCGAAGAAAAATACAAATCATACCCCCTTTTTTCACTTCGCTCGATGCTTCTTAGTCGCGGCTCTTCATCCTCAGACATGGAACGAACGGCGCTGTTTTCCTACTACGTTAGCATCTGTGAGTGGGCATGCATTTGAAGTCAACCCGTTTCTTCAAGTATATCACCCATTTGAAGTCATGATGACTCATGTCGGACATGTTTTGGCCACCAAACTCTGTGTGATTGAGCCTCAGGTATAATGCTCTCCATGGGTGCGGCGACGGCGTCTGCAGCGTTGCTCCAATCGTCCTCCCCGCCTTCTCTAGCGCCCCTAGGGGTCTCACGTCGAAGCCTCAAGCCTGTGGTGAAAGGAAAAGTTTTCGGTGAGTGTTTCCGAAGCACTTGTATTAGTATGAGTCCAGCCCGAAACATGGGTCCAGTGTTCACTTGTAGAAATCCGACTGTACGAGTCTTAGTACTTGTCCCAAACCATCATGTCTAGTACTGGTAGTTGTACGGCATTGATGATCACCCACTTGCGCTTGTATTAGTTGGTAGTTGTCAACTTGAAGTTACTACTACAGTAATCGTACTAGTACTAATAGTTGTTCCCGGAAGTTAGGCAGCATACAGACGGGCCAATTGTGCTCCGAGAGCACTCTCTCTCTCTCTCTCTCTCTCTCTCTCTCTCTCTCTCTCTCTCTCTCTCTCTCTCTCTCTCTCTCTCTCTCTGTCCCCTAGCTATATAAGGGCCCCTCGGCCCCCCTCTCTCTCTCACACTCTCTCACACTCTCTCTCTCTCTTTCTCTCTCTCTCCCTCTCCCTCTCTCTCTCTCTCTCTCTCTCTCTCTCTCTCTCTCTCTCTCTCTCTCTCTCTCTCTCTCTCTCTCTCTTCGTGCCTGCCCTTCAATTGTAGAGGTCCATTCTTTCAAGCTCCTTCCCACACGTAGCAACGGAAAAGTGGTGGGAGACCGAGGAGCATCCGGAAAGCTGTGGGTTAAGGGAATCAAGTAAGTTGATACAACACTTCAGCATGCATCTTTCACTTCAGCATGCATCTTTCACTTCAGCATGCATCTTTCACTTCAGCATGCATCTTTCACTTCAGCATGCATCTTTCACTTCAGCATGCATCTTTCACTTCAGCATGCATCTTTCACTTCCGCATGCATCTTTCACTTCAGCATGCATCTTTCACTTCAGCATGCATCTTTCACTTCAGCATGCATCTTTCACTATGCATCTTTCACTTCAGCATACATCTTTCACTCGTAGTGTGGGCGCACAATGGCGATCACATGTGTGTTTCACCGACAGTGTGGGCGCGCCATGGCAGTCGCGTGCATTTATGTCACCGACAGCGTGGGCGCGCCATGACAGTCGCATGCATAATTCACCAGTGTGGTTGTGCTGTGGAATAATTCCTAGCCATGACAAGTCCTGTTAATTTGTGGTCCTTACTTCTTTTTCCCTTATCTATTGGGCAGGACTCCAAAAAAGGAATTCTACTGGGTGATTAAGATACGCTTGGACAACATCCGGTCGGGGGGGGCTTTTCCTTACTACAATGTGCAACCTTATGGCAAAACGTGCCTTGCTGGCAAATATTTGGCGGAACAAGTGGGACAATGGAAAAA